TGGGGCAAGAGGCCTTTCCTGTGTGTTAGGGATTCCAGGCTCACCCTGAATACCTCTTGAATGCCTTTCTTTTTCTACCACACTTGATCCTAGAGGAAGACAAACAAGGTCGGTGGAAAGAAACCTTGTTGATTCACTCATTCAGCAAACACTGTCAGGTTGTGTTCTATTCAGCGTGCCTGGCCCTGTGGAGGAACAAAGTGAACAAGGCATGGTAGTCCGATCTCACAGAATTCAGAGCAAGGGGGCAAGTGTACAGCATTAGGAATACAGTGAGAAAGCAGTCAGAGGTACCAGTCCGAGAGGATAATGGCAATGTGTCTTTCACTGTAATGAATTTTTAAAACATTTTTTTTAAAAACCAAGAAGGGAAATCACTTCTGGTTGAGCCAGGGCTAGACTGTGCTTGTGTACACATCATGAATGTACATACATGTTCTGTGTGCATGTATGTGTATGGCCAAAGGGCCTTGGTAGGTGATACACTCCTGTCCCGCGCTGCAGATAGTTTTGGCTCATTCTTCCATGGCAGTTGGTAGGAATCCAACGCACTTTCCTCTTTGCTATTACTTTACTTCAGGGGTACTTACCTTAAACAGTGCTCGTGTTGTTGAACATGTGCCCAAATGCCAGTCCCGTAAATGAGTCCTGTTTTCAGGGTAGTTTCCGAGGTGCCTCATCTTCCTGGGGGAAGCAGATGTAAAGCTAGCATTGATTTTCTCCAGAGCTGTAGCTAGAGTTTGCTGCATGCATCTCTCAACCCCAACTTCCCCGTGAGGAGTTAATGATCTGTAAACTCATAATGCAGATACTGATAGCAACATCACCTCCCATCTGTAAAAGTGTATAAATCTCAAAAATCTTTCATACTGTTCTATTTAAAGGTGTGTGGGGTTGGCAGGTGGGGCTTGTAGAAGCTGCTATTTTAAGGAACTCATTTGTCAGGAATAAAAGCCCTTTTGTAGTGCAGGTTAACCCTTCTGCTGTTATTCTGTGCCAAGTTTTAATGGATTGTCTGAGATGTTCCTATATTTCTGTTTCACCTGCCCAGGTCTCTCCTGCTTCTCCATGCAGCGATGGCCCTGCCTGTGTCCCTCATTGAGTATTTCCTAAAGTGTAGGCAACATAGGTGATGATTTGAGAGATGATTTCAGGTGGCACCTGGATCTATATTATGCATGTTAATAGTTAAGTATATATTTTAATGTGTATTAGAAAAATATGATTGCATACCTTTGCTGTGATTTCAGGTGTAAAGCGTAGAATAAGGCTGTGTTTATGAGAAGTCAGTTGTTGCAAGTAATGATATTAAGTGGTATATGAATATGGCCAAGCCTTGAAGGTAGAATATGAACAACTGAGGTTCTGAAACACTGCCTGGATCCCATGGGCCTTACCTAAAGCTTTATACAATAGTAGGGCGCCTGGGGGAGGGGAGGCAGCTGGAATTTGGTCTTCATCTCCAACCTGTATCTTACCCACTCTAAATTCTGCTGAGGAAGTAGTTGAAAGAGACCTGCTCAGTGCCTCGTGCTGGGGAGAAGAAAGAATTTGTTCATTTCCCTGCACTGTCTAGGCACAGAGAGGGGACAGATGTCCTGAGGTTGATGCTTATCTTGGGTGTAAGCCATTGGGCATGGGCACAATCTGCAAACGCAGAGACAGCATCTATGAGAAGATTCTGCTGGGTGCTTCTTGCCAATTGGTGTACCCATGAGCTGAATTTTGCTGTCTGCAGAGTTTCAGACCCTTGCTGCTTGGTCTGGGTTGGTGTAGCTCTGAAGCACAGTCAGAGAGCCAGCCCTGCCTGTTCAGTTCTCCCTGTTGTCTTGGCAGAGTTCAAGGACCCTGGAGAGATTATTTCTTGTCTTGGCCTAGAACCAAACCTTTGGAAGCTTTATTTAGCCCATCAGCTTTGCAGAAGCCCAGGCCAGAGCTGGCCAAGGCTTATCATAGCGCATTATCTTTTAGATACTGTCCTTACCATCATACTCGAATTGATGTCTTTGATTTGGGGACCTCAAGCTGACAAACTTTCAGCCTCGCAGAATGTGTAAAGTGCCAGGGATGAACAAGTCCAACAGGGCTGAGTTTCATAAACTCTGCTTGGAGAGGAAGAAGGGGCCATGCCATTTGGAAGGCAGCTTCCAGGGACTTCCTGGCAGCATGGCCAAGGCTGTGGGGGCCCTGACCTCTTCAGAGAACGTGCCCAGGGTATCGTGGACACATGGACATCCCTAGGGCTTGTTGGGGACAGAAGTTATCTCCTTCATCTTTGAATTCCTACCACCTGACGTAGTGCAGAAGGAAGGAAGGAATGAATGAATGTTGAGAATTTTTACAAAAAGCACCCGCAAGGATTGAAAACATAGTTGTGAATTTCTAAACAGTTCTAAACCAGGAACATGTGGGAACTGGGGAAAGCAAACATGAAGAAGTCTTAGTAACTGAGCAACAGGCCTCTTGTTAGTGAAGTATGCACAGTTTAATTTCACAAACTCTCCAATGCCACCACCCAATCTCAGCTAAACTTTCAGAGTGAATATGACCCAGGAATCTGTCTCATCTCAAATTTAATCACATCTGCAGAGTTTCCTTTGTCATTTAAAATAACATAATCATAGGCTTTAGGGATCAAGATGTGGACTTCTCAAAAAAAAGTGTGGACATCTCTGGGGAGTCACTTCCCTCTCCTTGAGGCTCAGATAATATTTCAGCAACTTTGAGGGCAGCAGCCTCCAGACAGATCTACCGGCTGGGTTGCTGATGGGAGGCAAGGGGTTAAGCTCCTCACTTAAGGAAAGGGTGGGAAGAATTTCCCTTGGAAAAAATCTGTGAGGACACACTGGGGACAGGTGGTCCAACTGAGGAAAAGCAGCTCTTCTCTGGGGCTTACAAGATTTCTGATGGCTTCCTGCACTCTCCTAGCATACACTCTCCCAGCTGATGTTAAGGGTGTGCATCTAATGCTTAGAAGGTACTTATGCTTTGAAAAGCTATGGAGGAGTTAAAAGGTCATCAGAACAGTAAAAGACGCAGGATTTGGTGTTACATGATCTGGGGTAGAATTCCAGCTCTGCCACTTCCTGGGCATATGATTTGGACCATTCCCCTCTCTTTTTTAAATTCTTGTTTCTTGTTTCTATAGAACTCAGCTCAGTGTGTCAGAGGGCTAAAAGAGAGCAAGGAAGGGAATAACAACCCCCAGTAAATGTCAGGTGTGTCACCTGGTGCTGGCTTCAGGCAAGAGGATTGTAGCACATAAATGTACTGGGCTGGTCACAAGGTACCACGCACAACAATTCCTGAGGCGCCGAAGCTACAGGTGAGCACCATGGAGGGAGGTCAGACTTCAGCTGTGTCTTTTAGGAGAGGTGGCTTTTAGCCAAGAGAAGAACTGGGGTGGGAGAGGGCATTAGGTAGGAGCAGTAGTAAGAAAGCTCAAAGGCTGGACACTCCTGGCATGTAGAGAAGACTGGAAGGGCAGAGAGAGGTGCTAGGGCCCCTGCAGGTGATTAAGTAAAGGATATACTGGACGTCATATCACAGATGATAGCTGCGTATTTACTTGGTTTTCTCTCCCACTAGATTACAAGCTACATGGGAGCAGGGACGATTGTCTGCTTTTTTCCCATTGTATCTACAGAGCCTATTGGATATTTAATAAGTATTTGCTGAATGAATAGATAAATGAGCAATAATCTAATCAATTTTCTCAGTATTAATATTAAGCCCTTGACAAGCACTAGATATCAGGTACCATTCTGATCTAGCTACTGTGAATGGATGGGGGAAAAGAGAGGGAGATAGAGGTTAATTAGCAGAATCCAGGCTGCAGAGTGAGTGGGCTTCAACCAACTGCAAGCAGGAGGGTGGAACTGAAGTGAAGAGTTGATGTAAGAGATTAGCAAGGAAGCTTTGAAATGCGGCAGAGGGGAAGGAAAGACAAGAAAGACAGGCTGAAATGATTTGTGAAGATCCAGAATAAGAATGATACATTTTTTTTCAATACAGAAAAATTTGGAGCTGAGTATGGTAGTGCACCCTTATAATCCAAGCACTCTGGGGAACTGAGGCAGAAGGATGACAGTTTAGTGACTGCGCAACTTAGCAACTTAGCAAGACCCTATCTCACAGTAAACAAGGGGTGGGGGAATGTAGCTCAGTGTGAGGGCCCTGGGCTCAATCTTCAGTACTGCAAAAGGGGGAAAGTGTTTTTTGTGTGCTGGGCACTGGGCCGGCAAAGGGGCATTCAAAGCTAAGTAGGGCAAGATCTCCACCATAAGGCGGCGTGAATGCCGGAGCAGGGAAGAGGCTAGCGTGGGTCTGTGCCTTGGACAGTGAGGTAGTGCTGAGGGGGTGCCTGAGGTAAGCTTGCGCAACCCACACTGACATCTTCTGTTGTGGGCTGAGCTCCCTTGGGACAGGAAGATCTTATCAGAAGTGGCCATGTCTACTTTCATTCCATTCTCTCTTTCCCTGTTTCTTTCAGTTTATATTAACATCACTTCCTCGGCGGACCTCCCATGCGGCCATGCCCTGCCTCAATCATGACTGACTTTCCTTTGTAAATGTTTTCACCTCCTCTTCCCTGTTTAACAGCCCACCAGATGGGAGGGCAGATTCTCAGTTCTCTTGTTCACCATTATAAAGTTGGCTAGGTTGGTGGATGGATGGATGGATGGATGAATATGAAACAAGGAAATGTGGATAAAAGGATCGGGGAGAAAACAAGATATCAACAGGAATATGAGTGTTTATCTTTTCTTCTAGATCTTTGTTTTTTCCAAATTTTCTGTAATAATATATATTATTATATATATATTACATATATATATAATAATGTATATGTAGTAATATATTTCTGTAATAATAATATATGGCTCTACTACTTTTGAAATTGTTGTTAAAAGAAGAGAAAAAAACAGGCATGGAAAGAGGCTCTTGGGCTTTTGGCATGTTTCTTATGAGATGTTGGCTTTTGGTATGTTTTCCTGCAGGTGGAGGCAGGGAAAGGTCTGGAGATGAGGAAGCTGGTCCTCTCAGGCTTCCTGGCCAGCGAAGAGATTTATATCAACCAGCTGGAAGCCCTATTGCTGGTGAGTATCTGTTCTGGGCCTTCTGGTTGCCGTGTTGGCCAGTGTCACGTTCTAAAACTATCTTGGGGGTTGGAGAGGAAGGGGGACCTGCATGTGACCTAACCCGTGGACAGAGTCTGGTGCTGCCCTGCTTATAGCTGGGCATCAAGCAACATGCGCCTCTCAGCTCCTGCTCTGGGAAGGGAAGAAGCAGCACCGGTTAGGGAGAGCAAACACTCCTATAGCCCATGACCGTGACATCAGCACTACTGTTCATTAAGGTATTCTGTGCAGGTGGATACCCAGCTGCCTCCTCCCCACTGTGCTCTGGGGAGTCTCTTCCCATTAGGTTGAGATGTCTTTGTCATCCTTAGTCCAAGTCCTTGTTCCTCCCTGTGGAAGCAGACCTAATGATCTCCATCCTAGAGGCCTTGTTTCAGGAATGTGAGGTGTCTGTGTTGAAAAGCTCCATAGTTTGGAGGCATTAGACAACTTGAGCTCTTGGTAAAGATGCCTTCTCAGAGTCCTTTCCAACATGGAGGGGGGCATCATTGTGAGAATCAGAGTGCGAGGGGAATGTTGAAATGCTTTCCAAAGATAAAAGCACTATACAGATGTAAAATGTTTTTGCCTTGGAAGAAAGTGCTTATTAGATGCGTCTGGATATTATGCAGAGTGATCATGGCATGTAAAGTTCTTTGCTCTGGCTGTTTTGCAGTCTGAAGCATAAGACACTATTAGGAAAAGGGGAAAAAAGAAATGGAAGTGTTGATCAGTACACACTCATTCTTACAAGTAAGATACACAGTTGTGTAATTGCCATAATGTAAGATGTCACTCAAGTGTCCCAGGGGACTTGATATTTATTACTCAAGGAATGGTTATCAAAATGTGAAGGTACTTTGCAGGGCACTAGGCTGAGTTTGTGTTATGACCTCATAGGAAGCTTATTGGTATGCATAGTCATGGTTTCCAAGTAAGAGGACAATATGGCAGGTAGAGGAATGTTCCAGTCTGGAGCCAGAACTAGGACAAGACTTTACTCTGCCATTAATAGAAGGCTTACTGCACTGTTTTTTCAAACTGTAAATCTCAACTCCTTAGTGCATTGTGAAAGTGAGATGCATTGATTTAACATTTAAAAACAAAATGGAAAAAGAAAATAGCAGTGTACATTACACAGTAAGGATTAGTATTTTTTCAGGAATCTTGGCTGTTATAAATATGTATGTACACCGGCCACATTATTTCTTGCATGTGTTATGGGTTTGAAAACCATGGTCTATGGAAAGCTAAGCATGGACTCCTTGATCTTTAGTTTCCTTTTCTAAAGATGAGACTCTAGTAGTATACCTGCTCCAAGACCCCCATGGATGCCTGAAGCCTCAGATAATACAGAATCCTCTGTGTACATACAGTCACTCTTACGAAATCCCTGAGAAAATCAACTTACAGGAGGAAGATTTATTTTGGCTCACAGTTTTGGAGGTTTCAGTCCACGGTTACTGGACTGCATCTTTTCTGGGCCTGTGGTGACATAGAACATCATATTGGGGAGCTACATGGTTGAGCAAAAATGCTCATGTCAGGGTAGCCAGGAAGCAGAAGGAAAAGGGAGAGGCAGGAAGTGGGGAGAAAGAGAGGAAGGGAAAAGGAGAAAGAGAGAAAAAAAGAGAGAAAATGTTGATTTTTATAGCAAAGTCCTTCCTTCACCCAAGCCCATTACAGTATGAATCCATCAGTGGGTTAATCCACCAAGGAGGTTGGAACCCTCATAATCCAATCACCTCTCAAAGGCCCCACCTCTGAACATTCCTGCTTTAGGGAATAGGCTTTCAACACGTGTAGGGTTGTTTCTCTTTAATTTTTTTATTTTAAAGCGAGGAAAAAAACCAATGAAAACAATACAGAATTTCAAAACATGATGATAGGAAATTAACAATGGTTATTATATTGCATATTGTTATCTTCAAAGTAGTTGCTTAGATTATGACATATAGGCATGCAAAATTGATCAAACAATATAAGCACTAACTGTTCCTTTCAATGAACTAATAGAAATTAGCAGTACAATTATCTTAGCTATCTTGTGTTATATATCTATATATAGATATGTGGATATATTTTGGGGATTTTTCCTCCCTTCTTTCTTTTCTCCTTTTCCCTATCCCAGTTGTTCTTTCCTTTTGAGCAGTTTCTTTCCCTTTCACATATCTGTTGTACCTTTTGGATCTTATTTACTCTTTCAGTGTCTTACACTAGGGAGACAATACCCTATGTGCAAGTCTGGTTTATTTCACTTCTGAGTATGGTCTCTAGTTGCATCCATTTACCTATAAAAGCCTTGAGTTTATCTTTCTTTATAGCTAAGTAGTACTCCATTGCATAAAAATACCACATCTTTTTTATCCATTCCTTGGTTTATGGGCATTTGGGTTGTTTTCAAGAAACACAGTTCCAAGCACAATTTTTAATTAGAAAATTGTGCTGCTATGAACATGGGTGCACATATATCGCTGTGGTATGATGTTTTCAGTTCTTCTGGAAAAATACCCAGAAGGGGAATAACTGGGTCAAATGGGACCTCTAATTCTAGTTTTTTGAGAAATCTCCACACTGATTTCCACAGTGCTTATACCAGTCTACACTCCCACCAACAGTGGAGAAGGGTTCCTTTTTCCCCACAGCCCTGTCAGCATTTGTTATTGGTTGATTTTTTTGATGATAGCCATACTTTCTGGTGTGAGATGGAGTCTCAGTGTTCTTTTAATTTGCATCCCTTGAATGACCAATGATGTTGAACATTTTTTTTATGTTTCTTTGCCATTTGTATTTCTTCATCTGAGAAGTGTGTATTCATCTTAGATGCCCATTTTTGGATTGGGTCTTTGAATTCTGGGATCCTGATTTTTAAAAATTCTCTATACGTTCTAGATAGAAGTCCTTTGTCTGAGGGAGAGTTGGCTAAAATTTTTTCCCCATTCGTGGGTTTTCTTTTCACTCTATTGGTGATTTCTTTTGCAAAAACATTTTAATAAGATGAGATCTCAGTTGTTGATTCTTTGAAGTATTTCCCCTGCAGTTTGGTTTTTGTTCGTGAACTCTCTGCCTACCCCTATGACTTCAAGATTTCTACCTACTTTCTCCTCTAGTAGATTTAATGTTTCTCTTTTAATATTTAGATCTTTAATCCATTTTGACTTTAGTTTAGTGCATGGTGATAGATATGGGTCTAGTTTCAGCATGTGGAAAGCCAGTTTTTCCAGCACCATTTATTAAAGAGGCTATCTTGCTTCCAGTGAACATGTTTGACCCCTTTGTCAAAGATAAGGTGGCTGAGTGTGTTTGTAGTTGCAACACATGTGCTTTTAAGGAACATTTAAGATCTAGGCCATACAATACCCGATAAGGTTTAGTATATAAATTAGGACAGTAAGAGATTAACAACAATTATAGCAATATACTATAATAAAAATTATGTGAGCATGTTTTGGTGTGGTACTTGGGATTGAACCCAGGGCCTAGCATGGGCTTGAATTTGTGACCCTCCTACCTCAGCCTCCTAGAGTGTTGGGATTGTAGATTTGCTTCATGGTGCCTGACTTACCTCTCTTGAAGAGTTTAGCAAATCTTAATATTTCCAGACTAGGTTTGACCATAGGTAACTGGAACTATAGATAAGGAAGAGCAATGGCAATACCAGTGACCTCTTCCTTCCTGAGTTGAGAAGATCAGGTGATCATTTGGGACCTAGCGCAATGCCAAGTACTAAAGACACTCAAACGTTAGCTGAAGGAAGGAGGCAGGCGGACTCCTAGACTTATGTGAAGCATGCCTCATCCACTGTGGGTACGAAAAAGGGGTGCAGAGTTGTACCAAAAAAAGGGGCACAGTTGTCGCACTAGCAGGATGTCTGGATGGAATCAGACTCTCTGGCTGTGAGTCCCCTCTTGCCTACTTACTAGCTCTCAACCCTTAGCAGGTGAATAAGCTTTCATGCCTCATTCTCTCTGTCTACACACTGGGTGCACAAATAGTACTCTCTTTGTGGGCTATTGTGAGGATTATGTGAATTTGTTCATATAGCTCTTACAACAAAACCTGAGTGCTCTATGATGCTTATTTTCTCCAGCACTGGCAGAGAAGGGCAGGTTAAGGCCTCTTTGTTCTGCCAGCACTCTCTTTCCCCGAAGGAAGGGGAGGTGTCTGTGCTCTAGCCACTCCTAGCTTCCCACCTGCCTTCCTCGGGCCTCCCCTTCTGGGCAAAGATGGCAGATCTAAGGGCCAAGTACGCTTCCTAGGCAACCCATTCCAGCAGCTCATGCCCCAGAGGCACAACTCTGAGGCCTTACCCCCCTCCTGAGATGCCCCAGGGCAGGCTCCTGCCTGGTTCCTGAGCAGAGGGACTGAGGGAAGGACCAGGAGGGCAGTAGGGGCCAGTTCTGTGCCTGGAGGGCTCAGGAAGTGGGGCAGGGAACGCCCACAGCCACAGCACAATAAGGAGTCCTCCCTCCTCCCTGAGCTGGAAGCCTTCTCCCCTCAGCTACCAGGGAGGTGAACCAGGGTGTTCTGGCTCAGGAAAAGAAACTGTCCCCTTGGCATTTGCTCCCCTCTGACCCCATTCCCACAGCTTTGCTACTAATGTGCTTGTGTACTTTCCTGTTAATACTTCCTGGTATGCAAAGGACTGGGTGTGCGCACCTAATACCGTACACACACATACAAGCAGATAGGGACACCACATAGGAGTTTCTGTTCTGGGCTGGCTGCTGGCTAGGGCCAGGTTTGGTAATCAAGAATCCTCCAGGTTCCTCTTGGGCTCCTTTCAAGTGGGGGCTGAGGTGGGGACTAAGGAAGAAGGAGAAGACCAAATGCATTGTAGTTCTGCATCTCCCAGACTGTGGGCAGTGGCAGGGGTTCTACATTTTCCCTGTGCTGGGACCACCCGGTGTGGGGCTGTTGCCCATGGCACATGGCACCGCTAGGCCATGCTGGCCACAACTGGCCCGACTGGCTGTCCTAGGCTCTCATTCTGGCAGTTTGCTTGGAGTTCAGAGTCTGTGTCTCAGCTTTCTTATCTGTAAAATAAGTTAATGACACCTCCTCCCTGGGCTACTAAATGCACTTGAGAGCCACCAAGCCTTCTTGGGTAGGACGTGGAGGAAGTGGGCAGGTTTCTTTCCCCTGTGTGGAAAGGCCATTTGCTAGGGGACAAAGTAAGTATGGCTGTATGAAGTCAGAACTGGCCCAGCCACATCTTCCTGAGAAGCACTCAGGGAAATCAAGACCCAGAGTTGGGGTGGTTCTTTCTAGAATTCTCCCCAGGTGGAATGACAGCCAGGGACTAGGCTTGCAGGATAGGGAGGAGGGAGGAGTAACGCGTATGCTAGCTCTAGGGCAGAACAGCAGGGCAGGGTCAAAGCTCTGAGAGGTTGCCTGAGGCCTGTACGTGAGGCTTTACCAGATAAAAATAACTGCCTTAAGAACCAGGGGCAGCCCTTGCTCTTCCCCTCCTGTGAAATCAGGGGTAAGAGCAAAGGTCCTCAATCTTCTGTGAGAATATCTAATGCCCCCAGTGTGGCCTGTCCATGTGACTGGCTGCTGATGAGCGTCCTTCTCTTCCTCTTTTGTAGACGAGTGGGAAGTTGAGGAGGAAACAGAGCCGTTTGTGCCTTGTCTTTGCGTAGGTGGCAGATGAGTGCTTATTTCCCCAGCAGCTTCTGAGAAATTCTGTCCTCTTCGCCTTCCTGAGATGGTTCCCTCCTATTTCCTGTAACCCTTCCGCATTGGGGATGCATCTAGACAGGGATAAGGATGAGTGAGTGGTTCTGGGATTCTGGGGAAACTTGATTCCCCTCTCCTGTGGGCTAGCGCTGCGTGTTCTTCCATCTGGGAGAGTGGTATGCCCTTTCTCCTGGTTCCTTCTGTTTCCCTGCCTGCATGCTCACCCGTGCCCCAGGGCCCCACCTGCTCAGATCTCTGCAGCCTCGAACACCCCATTCCCGTCTACCTCCTCTGCAAAACCCCCTGAACTGCACCTTGGAATCACTTTGGGAGCACAACCTTGGGACCACTTGGTTGGTATTTACAGTTGAGGTTGGGTAATACTCTGCCTCACATCATCCACTAAGTCGTTTCATTTGTGTTGGTCCATTTTACTCAAAGTAGAAAATTCTCAGGAGCGGGGATCATGGTTCATAGAAATAATCTCCTGACTATTGGATTGCCATCACTCCCCTGCCTGAAACCCTCCAGGAAAAGCTGGGTCATTGCGTAATAAACTGCATGGTCAAAGCCACACTCCTTCCCCTGCGTGATTCCCACCGCACCCCCATGCCGCATGATCCATCCAGTCTGGCTTCAGGCTCCTCTCCTCCCGCTTCCAGCTGTATACAGGCACACTGGCTTTCTTCAGCCTCAGGACCAGACATCAAGGAAATTGGCCTGGAATCTTACTGCCCCACCCCCACCCCACCCTACAGCCCACTCCCTGGCTTCCATGCTTTCATTTCGGAGTGGGTCTCCACACCTTGGAGAGCTGTCCTTCGCCACCCTGTTTCACCCACCTCATTTCCTTCATTTTGCTTACTGCTGCAATTACTTGTTTAATTGTGCATTTGTGTTTTGTCTCTCTCCCCTCCTAGATCAGACGCCTTATCGGGGCAGGGATTATGTGTGTGTTGCATATTACTGAATACCCAAGTCTGGCCTCATGTTAGGCATTTGGTACATTGTTTTCAGGGTGAATAGTAATAATAATAACAGCTAAGTCAGGCATGATGGCACACACCTCTAATCCCAGCACTTGAGAGGCTGAGGCAGGAGGATCTCTGTGAATTGGAGCTTAGCCTGGGCTGTACAGTGAGACCCTGTCTCAAAAACAACAAAGTAGCAGCTAACATTGATTGTCTTCTATGTGCAAGGCACATACAGATATTTTATATAAAATGAAATCCTTTGGTCTTCCCATTGGTTCTCCTGAGAGAGTAATACTATCCCATTTTTACAAATGGGGCTGCTGGTGATGCGAAGCCCAGAGGTGGCAAGTGATTTAACTCATAGCTGTTCAGTGTCAGAGCTGGGACTCCAGCCCACGCTGCCTGGCCTGCTCCAGGTTGAACCTTGTCCTATTGCCAAGCCAGGACTGAATGCTGAGGGTCACCTCTTTCTAATGCTGCGAGGGTTAGCTGGAGAGGTTCTACTTTTCCCTGCCTTTATCATTTTACCTGGACTCTGTAGAGTTTAGAGGATGAGGAATCTAGACGTGGAAGCATTGTCTGGGTAGTTAAGTAGAGGAGACTTTCTTTTGTGGACACAGTTGGGCTGTGCCACCATCAGAAACTTGACTGTGAGTCTGGCTGGCTCAGAGAGAACCAGCAATGGCCTTGGCCTTCCTCGGTGTGGGTGTTCCCACCAGCCCAGCATCTGAGCAGTCAAGTTGCCCATTCCCTGCTGGAATGCTGCTCTTGTCAGAAAACTCACTCCCTCATCCTGTGAGACAGTGGAAGACAGCTCCAGTGAGCCTGAGCCTGACCCCCAGCTTCTCCTTACCACTTAGGTCTGCGGACTAACACAGACTGTCTAAGGCTTCTTTCCACAAGGGGCCTCCAGACAGAAGAAGGACATCAACCATAGCTGCAGGCTTCTTGTTTCCAGGAAAACACGCTCTCCCCACACCATGCTTGACAGGTTTCCAGATTCTGTAGCTGGCACGGCCTCTGTAGTATAGTTTGGGCATCTTTGGGGTTTTTCTGATTGTGAAAGTGATATTTATCCTTTGTAGGTGATTTATTTATTTTATTTATTCATTTATTTATTTAAAGATGGAGTCTCACTGTAGTACCCAAATTGGTCTCAGATTCCCAGGCTCAAGCGATCCTTCTGCCCCAGCCTCCCCAGTAGCTGGGCCTACAGACCACTTTCCCCCAGCTCTATTGTAAGTGATTTAGAAAAGATGGAGGCTCACTCTGGAAGAAAGTGCTCCTACACTCCATTATGCCAGACAGTGCTGGGGGATGGGTGTGAGGTAGTCTGTCACCTCACCTTTCTGTTTTCAGACTCTGGCACAGCTTGGTGTAGACATGCAGATGACAGATAGGTTTCATTTTCAAGTCAACTCAGACATTGAGAAAGTGTCTGAGACCACAACCATGTGCCGAGAGAAAGATCATCATGGTCGTTTAGCAATGTCTGCTGTGGGTTTGGGAGGAAGGAGGGTGCCATGTGGGTTACCTGCCTCTCTCCTTGTACTAGGTGACGGAAACTTGAATTATCAGTGAATCTGAGCTGGTCTTAAGTTTCTTCAAGACTCTGCCCCCTGCATCCTAGATCCACCTTGTGTTTCTTGAAAGGAAATAGCTGAGGGATTGGGTTCCCAGGTAACCCTCCCTTCCACTGAAGTGTGACGGGGCAGTTTATGATTCAGGGCATGAGACCATTGTGAAAGAGAGGCATGGATCCTATAAATGGACCGATGAACTCTTTCTGCTGTAGGCTGGGTGCTGTGAGCTCAAATAGGGGCTTTGGTGAGCTCTGGCAGTCAGGTTCCCTCTCATGTGTAGGGCTATGATAACAGCTCCAAGATACCAATCACATTTCAGGCATCTTGCCTTCAGTGGCTTTGTCTAGGCAGGATTTAGGCAATGCAAAGTGCTAATCAGTGCCAAAACCTGCCCTGGGCCTGCCAGGATTCTGATTTACTCACCACCACCACCTCCACTCTCTTTTCCTCTTCCTTTCCCAGCCCATGAAACCCCTAAAGGCCACGGCCACCACCTCCCAGCCTGTGCTCACCATCCAGCAGATTGAGACCATCTTCTACAAGATCCAGGACATCTACGAGATCCACAAGGAGTTCTATGACAACCTCTGCCCCAAGGTGCAGCAGTGGGACAGCCAAGTCACCATGGGCCACCTCTTCCAGAAGCTGGTGAGTCTCCCATGAGAGAGTATCCTCATGCAGGACTTGGAGCTGCTGGTGTCAGAGGCAGGCTTTGGGAGAGGACCAGACTGGTCAGACCCAGCTCTCTTGGTGTCCTTAAAGGCCTGGGTCACTCCTGGGTCCTGATAACAAACCTAGGCCTCTGCTTTATTGGCCATCTGGGCCCAAGGAACAAACTCCAGGCCCCCCGGTGATGCCTTCATAGTGTTTCCAGGGGTGGTGGTGTCGTGGTCCATGTGTGTGGGTGCTCTGGAAGAGTGCTGCCTTTCTTCCACAGAAGTTCCTTGTGCCTGTGCTGGAATGAAGCTTTCCTCCTGGGCTTGGGGTGCCCTGTCCCTCCATGTGCCAGGCTGGGTGAAGGCAAAGACTGCTCAGCCAAGACCTCAGGAGTTCTTTACATCCCTGTGCTTCCTCTGTAAGATGGAGCAGTTAGATGGAGACCGCCTCACCTAATGATCATCTCCTGAGGTCCCCAGAGCAAAAGGCACTGAGAGCCCAGCTCTACCTTCTGTTGTAGGGAGAGGGAAAGGGTTTGAGGAATAGAATTAAGGCTCTGACTTAGTGTTGGGAGATACTTGCAGAAATCTAGTTTCCAGGGCTTCTACAACATGTGCTACCCTGTTTCTGCCTCTATGTCCCCTGGAGGACACCCAGGCCAGACTGAACCCGATTCTTCCCTGGACTTCCACTGTAACTTCTAACAAGCCAGCAGGCGCAAAGGGGTCTGGGAGCCAGGAACTGTTCTTCTGTTCCCTGGCTGTGAATGACTGGGGGAATTGGGAACAACATCCTGCTTTTCCTCCCCTGCTCTGAGACTAGCTGAATGGACAGGGCTCTATGTTTCTCACCCTGGAAGAGACTCCTACTTGGATATTCCTGGGGCCTTGAGCTCAGCATGTTCAAAACTGAACTCACTGTCTTTGGAGTTACCTGCTGTTCTTCCTGTTTGTATCTAGCTGAGGGCCTTAGACTCAGGCTTGGCACTTCCTCCTCCCCAACATGACCACCTCCTCTCGCTTCTCCCCTACTCCCACATCCCCTTCTCTTCTTCTCCTCCCCTCCCTCCCTCTTTTCCTTCTCCTTCCCCACTCCCCTTCTCCCTTTTGTGGCACTGGGGATGGAACCCAAGGCCTAGCACATGCTAGGCAAGCACAGCCCCAGCCCCTGGAGTCCACTTCTTCACTGTCCTTCACAGCCACCTACTTCACCCCATCCCTTGCGGTGCTCTCCCTCTTGATGCTCACTGACCATCTTCCGGACCTTTGCCATGGCTTCATGTGTGGGCCCTGCCTTGGAGCCTGCTCTGCACCTACTGCCCTCTCTGCCAGCAGCAGGAAAGAGTTGCCTAAACCCTGACCAGACCTTGCTTCTTGCGTCCTGCTTCTCTCCTGCCAGAGGCTCCCCCTTTTGCCAGTTGGCTGAAGGCCAGGCTCTAGAAATGGCTGTGATACCCTTTGGATGCTAACCCTTGGCCTCTGGCTGCTGCCTCCCCAACCCTTTGTGCCCATTGATACAGAACTTTCTCCTTGCAGTTCACACTGTAGGCACTTTCTGACCTTTGCATACTTGTGGCTCCGTCTGGGCAAAATGGCCTTCCCCGTCCCATCTGGCTTCTCTTGATCAGTTCCCAGTTTAGAAGAGACCTCTTCAGATGAGCCTTCCCCACCCCCTGTGCTCATCTTGCACGAGCACTTCGGACTGCCCCTCTTCCCCAAACCATAAGGACAAAATGTGTTTCTTCTCATTAGACACCCAGAACCAGCCCAGCAGTCAATACATGAATGAATGAATGAATGAATGAATGAATGAATGAATGAATAAACAAACCAACAAACCAACCATAAGCTTGCCCACTGGGTCTGGACCTTGAGGGAAACATTTGTGTCCTAAGGGCCTAGCTTTTTTTGTTTGTTTGTTTGTTTTTGTTTTAAGACCAACAGTGTTGTATGGATAAGCACAGCTTCTTTTTTTTTTTTTTTTTTTTATGAATTTTTGGTACATTTTAGATGTACACGATGGCTACATCACCATCACCATGGGCCTTAGACTCATGCTTGGCACTTCCTCCTCCCCAACCTGACCTCCTCCTCTCGCTTCTGGATATTTGTACCTGTATATAACATACCTTGATACTTGTTTTTCCCCAACCCTTTCTCCTCCCTTCCACCCCTCTTCCCTCCCTTATTTATAAAAGCCTTATTTCCATTTTTTCCTTCTATTCTTTTTTCTTTTCCCTTCCTTTCCACCTCCCCTCTCCCTTGTTCCCCTTCACACTTGAACATTTTCTTCATTTTTTTCAATATCTGTTATACATTTTGGTCCTTGTATTTCCTTTTGGTTTCTTACACCAGAGAAATAATGCAATATTTAAACATGTGGGTCTGATTTACTTCACTTGAGTATGGTCTCAAGGTGCATCCATTTACCTAGAAATGTCTCAAGTTTATCCTTCTTTGTGGCAGAGTAGTACTCCATTGTATAAAAAAGAACCACATCTTCTTTATCCATTCATTGGTTGATGGGCATTTGGGCTGTTTCCAAGATTTGGCTCTTACAAGCCCTGCTGCTATAAACATGGGTGTGCATGTATCGCCAACACACAGCTTTTAGAGCCAGGTCACCACTGAGTTTGAATCTCAGCTCTGCCACAGACAGATGCTGTGATTGGGCGGCTTCTCCCACCTCTCTGTGACTCAGGTTCCTCATCTGTAGAATGAGAGTAATGAGAGTATTTACCTACTATGGGTTGTTGGGAGGAGTAAGTGAGTCGGTACCTGAAAAATGCTTGGAACAGGTTCTACAAGGTTGTAAATTATAAATGCTCAACAGTTAGCCGTTCTCATCACTGCTATTGTTACTATTATTATTACTGTTATTAGTCGGGAAAGGTGTCCAGGAAGTAATGTCTCAAAGGAATATCACACTTCTGGTTCTAGTGGACCCAGATGCTTCCCCTACTGCACAGGTGATGAACACCCCATTGTCCCTTTCCAGTCCCCGGAGTCTGAGCTGATTGGCTTGCAGGGTAGCCTCTCCTCATCCCTCAGAACTGCAAAAGAGAGCAAACTAGTGTGGAAGAGTGAGCAGCTAGGGGACAGTGGAAAGGCTGTCCTGGTGTATCTTTATCACTACGGTCCCTTGTCTCAGCTCCACAGCCCTGGTTGTGAATTTGCTACACAACCCCAGCATCATAAACTGATGTCTGAGGCTTCGGGGCTACAGGCTTGGCAGGACCTGGGTGGAGCCAGGTCAGGCCAGGCATCTGGAGGCAGTTTATTTTCAGCTGAACTCTCTGGGTATTTGATTATTCATTACCAAGGGAATTAGCATCTCTGCTATTTGTTTTATGACATCACTCCAAGGCCAAGCTGCTGTTTCCAGGCAACAGGCTGCTTCCCAGTTAATGAACTTAGCTGGCTGGGCCTCAGGCTGGCCAGCCCTAGGGTGACTGGAGACAGCAGTGCCTTTGACCCTTGTACACAGGCATCTGCACAGGTGGCTCCCGCTCCTGGCCCCTGAGAGGGTAGCGCATCACCCCAGGCATCCAGGATTTACCCTTTGGGTGGGAATGGGGGCCACAGAACCTTTTTCTGGAAGAAGACTGTGATGTGTACCCTGGCTTAAGAAGCAGCTGTGTAGCACATCTCCTGTAGTGTGGGCCACTGATGGCCAGTACTCTTCTGCAAAAAGACACAGACTCCATCCTTTCCTGCCTCTTCTCCAAGAACTTCCTTTCTGGAAAGTCCAGCCCTGTAGGGGCTGAGACCTTCACTGCTTCCCAAACATCCCAGCTGTCACTCTTCCATCTAGCTTCTCTGTCTCCTACCCCGACCAGCTTCCACAAAGGGTTCTGTCTCCGGAGAGTCTGACACGATAGACTGCAAGGAGCAGAGTGGTCCCGAGTGAGGCTCAGGGGCAGCACACTGTCCTCAGCACCTTGGCAGGAAGCAGAAGCCCCTGAGGAAAACTGGCAACAGCTTCACCCTTTGCTACATTATTGAACTAAAGTTTAAACTATAAAATCTGGGGAAAACATAGACAACTTTGTACATACCTCCCAGAATTAATGGATGTAAAGCCAAAATGTATTCTTTTTTTTTTTCTTCTTCTTTGGTAGTGCTTGGGATCTTACCTAAGGCCTTGCGCATGCTAGGCAGTACTCTGGCAAAATTTTCCAATCAAAAAAATAAAATAAAATATTATAGCCAGCAATGTTGGCCCATACCTGTAACCCCAGCATTCTGGGAATCTGAGGTAGGAGAATCACAAGCTCAAGCCCAGCCTGGGCAATTTAGTTGAGACCCTGTCTCAAAATAAAATTTAAAGAAATAAAGGGCTGTGGAGGAAGCTCATTGATGGAGTGCTTGCCTAGCATGCATGAGACCCAGGGTTCAATTCCCAGTACTGCAAAACATAACAAAATAACTATTTCAGATGAAGGGGAAGTTTTCCCTTCCCTTCCCCTTTTGTCTTGAAGCAGCTACTGGTATGAATTTGGTGGGTAACCTTGTACAGTGCAGAATGTATTTCTGTTACATATCTCTTTTCATGATATTGCATGTCCTTCAAAAATGTGCGTATGTTTGTATGTCACATTTTGCAATTCAGTCAGTGTTTGCTTTGAAATGTGTTGGTGTTGCTGCACATAAATCTAGTTTATTCATCGTAACTGCTGTATGTCTGGTTCCTGTGTTTATGAGCATTGGTTTCTAGCCCTTCCACCACAAAGAAGAAGGAGGCAATGAGAACCCTTGCTTATATGTTGTTGGATACACACTTATGCAGGTTTTTCAAGAGCAGTGGTATCCAATATAAAGAAATCATAAACTACATGTATAATTTTAAATGTTCTAGCAGCACCATCCCCACCTTTTTGGTGATGGCGCTAGGGATCAAACATGCCAAGCAAGTGCTTAACCACTCAGCTGTCCCTAGTAACCACATTTTTTAAAAGTAAAAATAGGGCTAGGGATGTACTTTAGTGGTAGACACTTGACTTATATGTCCAAGGCCCTGGATTCCATCCCCAGTACCACAAAACAAAAAACACTGGTGAAGCCAGGTGTGTGGTGCATACCTGAATTTCTACCTACTTGGGAGGTATGTGAGCAGGAGGATCACTTGAGCCTAGGAATTTGAATTCAGCATGGGCAACATAACAAGGCCATGCCTCAAAAAAAAAGCAGATGAAATTAACTTTAAGAATATAGTTTATCTATCCCAAAGATCCAAATATTATCATTTCTGTGTGTAATCAACTTTAAAAACTTAAGGCTGTAATTTAATTATATCCTCTTTTACATATGAAACCTTTCATTTTACACTGGCCATGTTGCAGTTGTTCAGTAGCCACACATAGCTTTTGGGCTGTGGCACTGGACAGTGTAATGCTGTGGATGACATTAGAAATGGATTTGCCAAGCAACAGGCTAAGGCTCTGCCTATGGTCAGCCTTATTAGTTGTTACAGATTACTCTGGAAATAACTGTACTAACTTATGCCTACAAGCAGTCTAGAAAAGCTCATTTCCCCCATGTTCTTGCCAACCTTTGATATCAGACTTTCAAGTTTTGACACTTCTAATGGGTGTGAAATAGTATTTCATTATAGCTTGAATTTTAATTTCCACCCTTTGATCCCTTAGAAGGAAATATGTATATACAGCCCAGAGAAGGCTTGCCATAAATATTTTTTTGCCATAAATATTTGAGACCTTAGTGAGGTTTGGTTCCCCTCTTTTAAAAAAAATTTTTTTTTTATTTTTGAGACAGGGTCTGACTATGTACTTCATGCTGACCTTGAATTCACTATGTAGCCCAGGCTGGCCTCAAACTTATGGCAATCCTCCTGCCTCAGCCTCCCAAGTGCTGAGATTACAGGCTTGCGCCACCACGCCCAGCTGGATTCCCTTTTTGCCGAAAGGAGTGATGGGATCTGCCCTGCCTCCTAGAGGAGGTAAGGCTCTTTGTGGTCACAAGCGAGGAAAAGCTGTGTTAGTTTCCAGGTGACATGCAGGAGTATAAGGCAGGGGCTCTGGCTCCTGCAGGCTAAAGAAGTGGGGACAGGTACTCAAAGGCCCCATAAAGTGGAGCAGTGAGCAGGCCACACATGCCTACCCCACTTTTCTGTCTCCCCTTGCTCTAATTCCATGGTGTGAAAGAGGTGTGAGGCGTTAAGTGGCTTCAAACCCTGTGAGACCTTCATGATGCTGAAGAAAGCCAAATGTGATGTGTGAATTTCTGGCATGCCAACAAAGCCTGCCTTGCTCTCCCCGCCCTAGCCCATACCCCCCTTGTTAACCTTATTGGCTGAGCCAGTTTCCATGGAAACTGTCAAGTTCAAAGGGATACTGTAATATGTTCATCCCTGCCGCTCCCCTCGTTCCCAGCAAGCCCTTTGGAGCTGAGTTAGAGGTTCTGAGTGCTAAGGGAGCTCTAGGAGCTCTGGTTAAGCTTTCATCCATTCATTAATGCTCTCCCCGTCTCACTCCCACCTTCCTCTCTCTGCGTTCTCTGTCTTCTTTCTGCAGGCCAGCCAGCTTGGTGTGTACAAAGCATTCGTGGATAACTATAAAGTCGCTCTGGAGACAGCTGAGAAATGCAGCCAGTCCAACAACCAATTCCAGAAGATCTCAGAGGTAGGCGGCTCCCTGCACTGCCACCCCAGCGACCCTGAGCTCCAGGAGAGGCTTGGGACCCTTCAGCTTTTACCTGTCTCCTTCCTTGCTTGGCAGTCAGGGAATCTGTTGCTCTCATGAGTAACACATAGGCTGACATTTGCTTTTTGCACCTGACATTTTTCCTCTTAATATAAGAATATTGATTGACTTGATTTTTTAAAATTCCATTTAAGGTTAGAGAGAAAAAAACAGGGGAAGCCAAAAAAAAAAAAAAAAAATGAAGAAGAAGAAGAAAAGAAAACAATATTTTCCCATGCCCTGGTGACCTTGAGCAAGTCATTTCCCTTCTCTTGACCTTTGTTTCTTCTGCTGTAGAAAGAGCTGCTGTCACTTGTTCAGCTCTTCAGACTTACTTGATAAGAATTATTGTTTAAAATACAGATTTCCACACACACTCCCTATAACTTCTGATTGAGAAGGCTTGAGGTGGGGCTGAGGAGTCTCTATTTTGACAAGCCCTTGGGTAATTTTTACAGTCAGGAAGATTTAAGGAAGCCTGGACTAGTTTTTCTTTTAAGATCCTTGCCAAATGTAAGATTGCAGTCGCACAAACAGTGCAACAGCAAGGGCTACTTAAGGGGAAAAAAAGCCTTAGACCCTCTGACCAGTGACATGGCTGTTCTTACCAGTGCAGCTAAGCCTCCTCCACGTGCTCCTGCAGGACACAGGTATGGCATCGTCTGCCATTGGCACTTCTGTCCTGGAAGTGGCAGGAAGGGATGGTGCGCTCAGACACTTCAAGAAGACAGACTCGCCTATTCTATCTAGAACAACCCTGGTTGACACCTGTATGCTACTGGCCTTCAGGAAGCCTCCAGCTCCATGCTCAGGGGAAGGGAACCTTTATTTCTGAGGAGATGGGGATACTTCTGTATTTGGAGGTCTTCCCTTTAAAGACTTCCTTGGCCCTTTGTCCTCCCCAGCACAGCTGTGATGCTGGAAAAGTTAGTGAGACGCAGGATAGTTTCCTGTATCTATTGGGGATCCTGGCTATCCCCAAGTTTGGAGTCAACTGAGAAGCCACACAGGAGCTGGCCAGATAGAAATGAAAATGTCAGCTTGTTTCCTAGAGAAAGCTGGATTGGAACATATGGGTGTGGGTCAGTGGCCACATGGGACTTGCTAGACACTTCTCCTCTGGAAGTAACATCTATTGAATCTTGGCAGAGTGGGAAGCCCCAGAGCCCTCCCTACAGTGGGGGCAGAGTTTTTATCCCTCAACCCAAGGTGCAGAGAGAGGAAGCCTGAGCTTAGTTTCTTCTTCTAAACCCATAGATCCGACGAGTCACCCCTCTGCCTGTGAGGACAGACTGAGGAGTGGGGCAGTCCCTCTGCTGAGGGGTGGGATCACAAGGCTAGAGAATGGAACTTCCCCTCATGGCTTCCAGCCCTCCCTGGGAACAAATTGGCCTCCCTTGATCAGTGCCCAGAGTGGCCTTGCCCTGGCTGCCTGGGTATCCAGGGTCAGTATGGCCCAGAGAAAATCCAGAGTGTGGGGTTTCCTCTTAGCCTGGGCTGGTTGCCTCTTCTCTTTGTGTGGGCAGAAGGCCCTACACCCATTTGTAAGCCCCTCTCAGTGCCTGTCTGTCCCAGAGGGCAGAGCTGGACCCATGGCCCTCTGCCAGGTGGCTGCTCATCCTGACTCACTGGATGACGCCATTGCTTCCTGATGGCACTGCCACTTAATTACTGCAATTAGGCCCTTTTCTGCAGCAGGAGTGATTTCATACCTCCAGGCTACACTGGAGGGGAGCGTGGAACAAAATTCCCTAAAGCTGGGAATCCAGGCACCAGTGAATTCAAATGCCAGTGAGAGACATTACCCGACACACACACCACGCTCAATCCTTGGGGGTTTTCTCTGTCTAGAAACAGCTGGAGACAGGAGTAAGAAATGAGCTCCTGCTGCCTGGGTGTCCCTACCTCTCCACCAGGCGGAGCAGGTAGTATTACCTGGGTGCCTGACCTTGGCCTCACCTCACCCTCTGTCTTCTGGGGACAGTCCTCTCCTAGCTCTGAGGACTCACTCTGCCAAGTAGGGATTGCATTTCAGCTCCAATTGCAGCTGCTCTCCTATGTGTGAGAGCTGGGGCACTTCTCCCTCTAAAGCAGATAGAAGAGGTTTGACTGACCCTAAAATCTGTTTCCAGTGCTCACTCCAGGTCACTTGGTAGTGGCTTTGCCTCCCTTGCAGTCTCCGCTCTGGTGTCCAGCATAGACAGATGGTAGGAGTGTCAGGTGGACTGGGGGCGGGATAAGTTCCTCTTGCATGGGGAGGGTATAACCTAGACTGCCCTGTGGAGTGCAGCATCTGTGCCCTAGTCTGCCTCCCCCACCCAGATGTGCAGACCTTTCCTCCACGTCTCAAGCGTGCTCATGCCCCAGGGGCCCGCTGGCACAGCTGGTGCTTGTTACTCAAACCCTGTCTGCCGTGGTCAATGTACGCATAATCCCGGAGTAGTGGCTGCTTGGGAGGTGGGGACCTGTTCCTGCTGTGGCTCGTTCTCAGGAGGGACTGCACAATTGCGTGGACTGTTGGAGTCCCAGTACTGCAGTGTTTGCTACAAACTGGTCCTGACTTGGTACCTAGCGTCTCCCTTCTTGCCCACACCCCAGCTGCTGGACCCAGGAGCTCCAGGGAATTGAGGTGGTGAGGCAGAGGCAGACAATAAGTCTCCTTTGTCTCCCCACATTTGCACTCCTGGGTTTCAGAGCTCCTATTCCTGCCATGTTCACAGTGGCGGAGGTGGCTAAGTGGACAGACCAGGTAGTGATTCCTCTCCTCCCTCTGCCAGGAACTCAAAGTGAAGGGGCCCAAGGACTCCAAGGACAGCCACACGTCAGTCACCATGGAAGGTACTTTGGGGAATGGGCTGAATTATAGTCACCTTTCTTTGTCTGATTTTGTCAACTACAGGATGTATGAATGCACTGTCCTCCCTGCTGTGTGCGTGTTCGTGTGTGTGCGTGTTCGTGTGTGTGTGTGTGTGTGTGTGTGTGTGTGTGTGCATGCACGCACTTGATGAATCCAGCCTCTCCTCCCCAGGCAGTGGGCCAGCTACAAACGTGCTCCTCCTTAGGATGCCAGCAGGCACTCACTCCCTCCTCCCTCTCCTCCCTCCTCCTGCCTCTCCACGAGCTTCCCGCCCTCCCCCTTGCTGGAGGAGCACTCGGAAGCGGCTGCTTGATTCTAGAGGCTGTGCAGCAGCCACCGGTAAGGTGGCCGAGTGGCCGGGCTGCTGAAGGAAGCTGGGAGCTGGGAGCGATGGCTGCACGCCCCTGCTGCAGGCACAGAGGCTGCCATGGAAATTCTCCTCATCATTCGCTTCTGCTGTAACTGCACCTATGGTAACCCAGGCACCCCTCCATGGGAGGTGGTGTGCCTTAAACCACCCGGGGGCTGGCTGGAGCGGGCTTAAATGTGGCTGGCAGGATTTGGGGGTAGCAGAGAAGGGAGGCTGGGCAACTGGCTGGACCGGTGTGCACTCTCCCCTTACAACCAGCCAGGACGACAACGATGACGACGACGGTGGGGCGCTGCTCAGGGTAGGTTAGCTTTGAAATGGAAGGACCAGGCTGGAAGGGTCCATCTCCCCCCACCCCCTCCCAAGGATCTCTGGGGAACTGGTGGCTTTGCATATACATGAGAGGCTTTGAGCAACTTCCTGGAGAGGATGACAGGCTGTGTCTGCAGACAGGGTAACCCTGAGGCCAGGGAGAGGGTCATCAGGAGCCAGGCAGAGAGGGGCAGAGGACCTGGATGGTAGCAGTTTGAAGCAAGCAGGCGCCAGCCCAGGCTGGAGGGAGAAGTTGGGAGTTTCTTTGTTTCCGGAGAGAGGAGAGCAGCTGAGAAGCCCGTGTATTATGTGCACAGTACACATGCTGCCTCCTCTCAAGACCTACTGGGAGAGCAAGGAGCAGCTGGGAGGGCAGGAAGGAAGAGGGTTACTCCCAGGAGGTTTCCTTCCAGCCTCCAGACACCTCCAGGCCAAGGTCTCCACACTGAATGGGAAGATTGGGTTTGCGAGAGGGGGTGTGGCAGGCTGCCGCTTTGTGAAGGTCACAAACCCACCCTTCAGTGGAAGGAGCCGGAGCATCCTCCGTGCAACCTTCCTAGCTGGGGTGGGAGCAGGGGCATCGGTCCTGGGACAGACATGTGCTGTCAGCCTGGCTGTTGCTCACGGGCCTAGGCAGGGTGGTGTCCACCAGCTGGTGGGCTGCTCCAAGGCAAGTGCCTTAGGGCTGATCTAAGCTGCCTTTGGCAGGGCATGGGGTGGAGGGCAAATGTTGCCTCTGTGCCAGCTGCTGTGGGCCATGTGTGTCAGAGTGGCAGGTGGCTGGTTTTAGGACCTTCCACTTCCCTCCCACCAGGCCTTTTGTCTGTACCCTTTTCAGTCACTTTGCTTTCCCATCTCCGTGGAAACCTGGGGCTCCTCCTCAAAGGCTGAACTGAGGGGGGGTGGCAATTTGCTGGAGGAGAGATGATGGATGAGCTTTCCTGGGCTCTTTCCCAGAGGCCCCTGTGCTGGAGAGACTGTGTAGGACCACTGTCCCCTCGCCTTCCTGGGCTGTCCTGTGTCAAAGGCCACTCGTGATGGAGGCGACCTCAGGGGCAGCAGTTTGGGGCAGTGGAATTGAAGGGCAGAAGTCTCCCTGTCAGCCACCTGCCGATTGGCTGATTCTGACAGGCTGCGGTCAAGAGGAGCGCTAGACTTGTGCAGAGGGCAGAGGGTAAACATTGTTCTGGGACTGGCCTAGGAGTTGGCTGCGTCTTGCCTCTGCTTTCCTAAAGGAAAGGGGGTCAACACTCCCCAAAAGGAAGCTTAGTCATAGTGAAACAGGCCCAGGGCCCAGAGTTCAGGATTTCTTTCGTCCCTACAATGCCAGCTTTGAAGTCAGCTTTAAAGTGGAGAATGGGGAAGGGAGGTGTCTCTTAAGGAAAAGCCATCTTTCCAAGAACTCTCCTGCAGGTCACCGACCTTTTATAGGAGCTGCCTGCTCCTGAGGAAGAAGTCTGCTCAACGTTAGGAGCATGAGTGAACCAAAATTCAAAATCAGCTACCACTTACGGATTTGTGACTGTGAGCAAGTTACATAATGTCTCTGTGCCTCAGTCTCATCATTTATAAACTAGGACTAGTGAAAATTGCTTCCTTTTAATCCCAGGATATAATGCACATAGAGCAGTTACCTTAGTGCCATGGTCACAGAGCTCTGTGTCATGCCGCGGACACTGCAAACTCCTATACCAGTTTGCTTGGGGACAGAGCACACCCCCAGCAAATGAAAATGACCAGCTTGCTTAAGGCAGTGGTCTGACTTTTGGCCACTGCAGGTATTGTTTGCAGAGGTACTGGCCAGGGAAGACTTCCTGGAAGAGGCAGCGAGACAAGTGTGACAGCTGTAGGATGGCAGGTGCCAGCAGGACAGCACAGAGAGGAGTGGGGACAGTGGATGAAGTGGGAGCAGACAGCAGGCTGACATAGGGAGGGGAAGCAGCTCCTGGCCAAGGACAGGCCCCTCACCCTGAATCTGCAGAGGAAGCAGGCATGGAGAGGCAGGAAAGCTCAAGCACCGGGGGGTGCCCTCCTTCTCCTGGTTCCCTTGTATCCGACTGGCCCTAGGGCATCTCCCTGACCTTTCCTCTCCCCACTTTTCCTCACAGCTGCCCTCCCTTTATTCCGCCAAGGCTGTGGTTGCAGGACTTATCCCACACCCCCATCAGGGGGACTCTTGAGGTGACTGCAGGCATATTAATAACCCCTCTGAAACCCAACCCGACACTTGTGCAGCTCTCTGAGCTTAGTCAGAAACCTCTTCCTCCTGGGACCTGAGAAAGGGCTGGAGGAGCTGACAGTGCAGTGTCAGCTTTCCTGGGGGCTGGGACTCAGGGCCCACCCTGGCAGATGTCTTTTGACCTTGTGCTTCCTGATAGGTCTCTGGGGTCATCCTGGGTGAATTTCCCCTGAAGATGGCCTGAGCCACAGGTGGGTGGGTGCCTTAAATGGCCCCAGAAGTGCCCCCCGCCCCAGTGAGCTGATGACAGCTTTACCCTCACTGTCCCACGGTATTCCAAACCTGGTCCTGCCTGTTCCTCATCCTACTCCTGTATCCTATGGAGAGTTTCTAGAGATTGCTAGATATGAAAGGGCTAGAAATAAGTCATAGAAAGTGTCTGCATAAAGCAGTGGGTTTCAACCATTGCTACATATCAGAATCAGCAAAGGAGCTTTTTGAAAACGCTGCTACCCTGGTTTCACCCTGCAGAGTTCTGGGTTGAGCTGATGGGGTAGGATGGAGGAGGTGGGGGCATCTGTTTCCTTTAAGGGCTCCCCCAGTGATTCTAATGGGCAGCCAAGCAAAGACTGCAGATAAGACTCTTGGCACACTGCTGAGACCGCATCTTCTCCATAGCCAGCAGATTGTTCCCTGAAGTGTCCGCTTAGTAATTCACAGGGTATTTATATCTAGGGCTTCGGGGGCTCTTTGGTTTGGGGGCAGGCTGAGGCATGAGCTCAGGGATCTGTTACAAGCTCTGGTCCCATGGGACAGCCAGGTAGGGTCCTCCTTCTCAAACTAGCATCCTGCCTCTTACTGTTCCCATGGCAGGAGGCCAAAGGTCATGACCCCTTTCACTAGGGAACCCAGGTGCAAGACGAATGCTGAACCACCACTTTGGGAGGGGTGGGCACAGCTGCTTGCTGGAAAGATGTTTGGAAGTGTTGGGCTGCCGGCTGCTTCCTCCACCTGTCCCTGCTGAATCCCAGCAATCCTCGTTTGGTGTCTAGGTCTGGAGGGGTGTGGCACCTGGGGTCCCAGCTGAGCTTTCATTTTCCTATCCCCTCTGGGGCTTCCATCAGCAGAGCCTACCTAAATTCCTCCAGGAAGTCTGCCCCTCAGGAGACCGGGAGCTTGAGAGCAGAGACTTTCTGTAGAGATCTGGCCTGCCTCCTGGCCACCCAGCTGGTCCTGTTCTTTCTGGAGGTTCAAGGGAATATAGAAAGAGGCAAATTTTCTTACAGAGATGAGGCTGGATGTGTGGATGTGCGGGCCAGAATGAAACGTGCTGTTCCCAACTGATGATGCTGGCGTTTAACTGAGGGAGTGTGAGAACAATAGGCATGGGAGAGCAGCCCTTCCTAGGAAAGTTGCAGTGTCTTCTTCCCCATCCTGGAGGCCTGGGTGGAACCCAGTGTGCTGGGCCACTTTGGGGCGTGGTCATGTATAGTGGATTCGAGGCGTGGTATGCAAGGAGAGCTGCTCCGAGGCAGGCCAGGCCTGGGGATGGTCCTCAAAGAAGTCAGTGTGATGGGAGATGAGATGCGGAGGAGAAGTGGGGAGGGACCTGAGTGGCCAGCACTACGCTGTAGCCTATTCTGTTGCATGGCTTGCTATGGGAAGGAGAGTAGAGGTACAGGCTGCCTCAGGACCCTCTTTGATTTCCTGCGAGTATGTGTTCACTGGAGGTAAACAGTGTGGTGTAGGGGATAATGCTGGTCTTGAGTTGTGCCTTGTGTTTTGTCATCCTTTTCTCCCTGCCTTCCTCAACAGCTCTGCTCTACAAGCCCATAGACCGGGTCACTCGGAGCACTCTGGTTCTACATGTGAGTGTCAGGCCCCCTGAATGGCCAGGGAAGGGTTAGGAGTATGGTGGGAGGGCACTGGAATCACTGACAACAGCCCATCCAGGGAGCCAGACAGAGGGTCTACACCTGCCTGGCCTGCGGTAACCATGCCAACAGGGCCAGGGTCTAAATATAGCTTGGCTACTAAGCTTGATATTTGGCCAAATGCTTCCTAGGAAGCACTTCCGGCTTGCCCATCCCCTGCCGTGTGGTCTCTGTGTCCTGGGAGCAGCTGTGGGATGGATTGAGGGATGTCTTTCCCAGCTGCTTCATGAAATGAGGCTTTGCCTGGCCATCTCCACCAGAGGAAAAAGTCATGACCACACTAGAAATAAAGGGGAACACTACCCTCACCCTGGCTGCTCTGACCCTGATTTTTAGGTCCGATTTTATAGGCATGACCAGATAATAGTGTGGCTCCCTGGATATCCTCCCTCAGAATTCTGTTTTTGAGGAACAAGCCCTCCTTACTGTCTTCTCATTGAACTGGCCCCCACCACCCTCAACCCTTCCTTCCCAGGACCTGCTGAAGCACACCCCTGTGGACCACCCAGACTACCCCTTGCTACAGGATGCCCTGCGCATCTCCCAGAACTTCCTGTCCAGCATCAATGAGGACATTGACCCTCGTCGGACAGCAGTCACAACCCCCAAGGGGGAGGTGAGCTTGCACCCAGCCTCCCATCTAGGCTGAGAAATAGGTAGCTGACCAGATCCCCTGTCCCTGCTGTCCCTCACACATAAACGTCCTGGGCCTCTCCACCGCTCACCCCCACTGACAGCCAAAGTGAGGTCTGCAGTCCCAGTCACCCTGATTACCTGTGGCCTAGGCTAAGAACTGTAAGTCTTGTATCTCATTAATCCTCACAAATAACCCAGTGTCTTAGTCCCTTCCTTGTTACCAAGATGCTGTACCCAGCACTCACATCTTAAAGAGAAAAGAGGTTTGTATTGGCTCAGTTTCAGAAATCTCAGTCCTTACATGGTCGGCTGGCGTCAGGCAGAAGCAGCATGGCGGAAGGGACTTGGGGGAGGAGAGCTGCTCACATTATGGCACCCAGGAAGCAGAGAGTGAGGAGAGGAGCCAGGGAAGGAGACAGAGGCTTCTAAGTCACGCTCTTAGTAGCCCATGTCTTCCAACTAGACCCCGTCTCCCAGCAGGTCAGCTCCATGGTCCCTGTGACTCAGTCACCTTCTCAAAGCTCCACCTATGCGTGCATGAGGCTTTAAGGGAATTTTTTTTTTTTTAATCTACATCACAATACCCAATGAAGCAGAAGAGTAAACTGAGCCTGGAGAATGTAATCTGGCATGAGGTCCCTCAGTCATAAGCGTCAGAACTGGATTCTGTACCTGGGGCTATCTGGCTGCAAGCTACTCATATCATCACCCATCCAAGGGAAGCAAGGCCTCCGGGTCCCTCATTCTCCAATGCAAACATGCCCTCTGGTCAGTGTGACGCTCGCAGGGGACCCTCTGGAGCCTGAGAGGGCGAGAGCTCTGAGCTGCTTTTGAGCAACCTACGTGGCAGGTGTGCTGGGGCTAGCAAGTGAACCAGACAGCAGCAGGATCCCCTGGCACCAGAGATAGCTGAAGCTGCTCAGGCAGCTGAAATGTCTCATGTTGGCACCTAGATTCGGCACAGCAGCCTCCCTGGGGTCCCTGGTGAAAGGGTGGCTCAGTGAGGGGAAGTGATGTAAATAACCACAGGGACAGCGACCCTCATGGGTCAGCAGTCTGGCCCAAATAGACTGCTTCCTGTCCAGTAGATATAATTAAGTGGCATTTAGGAGAGAAGGCTGACTGGGTTTATGCTCCTTTGTTACATTTACCAGGATCCTGCGTCTCCTGGGAGGAGAAGTAATGAGGGACAGGGTCTTGAGTGTGACAAATGGAGCATGGAGCTGTCTGTGCAGCTCCAGCCCTGGTTTGCAACACCCTAGAATGTCACTAGTATGTTTTACTCTGGGGATATCTGAAAGATCTGCAGCAGGCTTAGCACACCATCAGTTTCAGGTTGTTTTAATCGTATCCTTTCAACATGTTCACCCACATATTTCAGCGTATGTAGGTCACAGGGTATATAGTGCACACAGGGAAGGCTGGGATAAGTAGTGCAGCTCCACAGAAGCCCGCTGGCTCTGAGGGTGGCAGGGAGGAAACACCAGAAGTCCTATGTGCGGCAAAATGCTCCTGACCACCCAGAGCCCACGTTGGAGGCAGCCCCGGGACTGCCATAGCCACACGGGGGAAAACCCAGGGTCTCCCATCTGTTAGGGTAGTTGAAGAATCCACTGAGAGGCAGCGTGAGCGGGGCTGAGTGGACCCTGACCTGCAGTTAGATCAGTTTCTCAGGCTCAGCTGGGAGAGGCTTTGAGAGTAGAGGGTGTTACGGCACAGGGTAGAGAAACCAGGTTATTCTGGACTCTAGGCCATCTAGGGGGCCACTGTTGAGAGCTGTGGGACAATGTAAAGCTACCATTTGTTGATCACATATTGTGTACCGGGCTTTGTGGTATTCTACATACACATCTTGATGAATCCTATCTCATGAGGCAGATAACAGTCTCTTCCAGTATAGACAGTAAATCTGAGGTTCGTAGGGATCAGGGAACTTGCCGGGGTTCACAGCCAAGAAACGGCAGAGTCTGGATTCAGATCCTTGACTCCAGAGTCAGTGTTCTTAGCCACTAGGAAATGCAGCCCCTCTCTCTGCCCGCCCCTGCTGTATGATGTCCCCAGTGTAGTCTGAGCAGGCTGGGGGTTGTGCCTCCTTCAGACACGGCAGCTGGTGAAGGACGGCTTCCTGGTGGAAATGTCAGAGAGCTCCCGGAAGCTGCGGCATGTCTTCCTCTTCACAGATGTCCTGCTGTGCGCCAAGCTGAAGAAGGCCTCTGCAGGGTGAGTATTGAGGAGAGAGTTTGGGTCACTGTAGGAGGAACCAGACCCTGCCCCCTGTGGTGCCTTCCACAACCTGGGGCAGTCTGTGTTTCTCTCCTTGATAAAAATACATCAGCTGGGCATGGTGGCCCACACCTGGGATCTTCCACTTGGGAAGTTGAGGCAGGAGGATCACCAAAAGTTCAAGGCCAACCTGGGCTACAGCGTGAGTTCAAGGACAGCCTGAACTGCATAACGAGACCCTGTCTCAAAAAAAAAAAAATCATTTAGTTTCATATTACTCCATAGTAGCTTTTATCTAAAAATAAATCATGCTGTTAATTATAAAGAGAATAGGGCATTACAGAAAAAAACTATAACCCACCAAATGTAAGCATCAGTTTTTTGCAGCTATATTTCCTTATCATTTTTTTTAAAAGTTATGTTTTTTCATATAGTTATAATCAGAGTGAATGCCCAGTTTGGGGCTGCACTTTTTTTATTTCACGTCATAAGCATTTTTCTCTGTTGCTGCCTGATCTTCATAATCATCATTTTACTTTCCTGCATAGCTTACAGGTGGATATGCCATCATTTACTTAAGCATTATCCTTTTATTAGATATCTCTAAATTTTTGCTAACTGTGATTCTGTGAATATTCATTAAATCTGCCACCATTTGTTGAGGGCTTATGCCAGGTACCATGACAAATGCTTTGAATACGTCACTTCTGATCTGCCCAACAGCTCCACAAAGTGGTTGTTATTATCCCCATCTCACAGATGAGAGAAAAGCCTTACAAACGATAAAAAAGTTGCCCAAGGTTACAAAGCTAGAAGTGGAGGAGACGAGATTTAAACCTTAATCTAACTTGAAAGCTCCTTTCTACCTCTGTCTCGGTGCTGTGGGACTGCTCTGTGCCGTAAGCAGAAAAGATTATTCAAAATTTCTTCACATACTCTCTCACCTCTTTCACCTTATCACCTCCTGTGTACCATGTGTAGTCCTTACAGTTTCGGAGGAGACAAACTATGCCCTCGTTGTAGCACTAAGAGACCAAATGGGAGATCTCAAGTCAGAGGAAATCACAGAAGGAGAGGTCATTAGGAGCTTCAGTCATGGGCCCAACTCCCTAAGAACTAGATCCCATTTGAGATAGTTATAAGGCAGAGACAATAATAAAAGTGTACATGCCTCACCTACAGTCCTGCCTGTACCAGACACTACTAATCAACCATGATACTCTTTCTCACTGGGCTTGGATGGAGCTTTATAATACTCAACCCAGTACGAAGTGTGACCCTTACTGATCAAAGCTGGCATTCAGAATAACACGTGTATCCCATCTCTATGCTAAAGGATAGTGAACATGAATCTCAGTGTGGATAGGTTAGAGGGAAGAAAAAGGTGTCTGGTGGGGAATGGGACAGTGTGAGCCCAACCAGGCAGGTTTCGTTCTCCTTGATACATAGGTGACTTGGGATATTTAAAAATCCCAGTCCTGCTAGGAAGACTGACACAGTGAAGGATCAGAGACCTCCCTGCTGGCTGACCCAGAACCCAACTCTCATTACTCTGTGTGTGTGTTTACTGATCAAGCTTCTCAAGGGCAGGGACCATTCTTGCCTTGATAAGTTTTCAGGAAATGTCTCTTGGGTGGTGTTTTGGTCCCAAACCCAGCAGTCCAGGTTGAAGAACCGGCTTCCGTCTGGCTTATGTCTCCTCTGGCTTGTTTGCAGGAAGCACCAGCAGTATGACTGTAAGTGGTACATCCCCCTGGCCGACTTAGTGTTTCCATCCCCTGAGGAGTCCGAGGCCAGCCCCCAGGTGCACCTCTTCCCAGACCACGAGCTGGAGGACATGAAAATGAAGATCTCTGCCCTCAAGAGTGAAATCCAGAAGGAGGTGAGGAGAATCTAGCGGCTGGGCCTAGAATTGTTTTCCTGGGTGTCTTTGAACCAGGTGTGCTGAGGAGGGCAGAGGGAGGGGAAGTTGTAAGGTTTGAGGTCTGATTGGAAGGGGAGGTAGGAGAAGAGCAGGAGCTCTGGGATGTGTGGGTGCCGAGATGAAGCCCCTGACCGAGGCAGATTAACTCTGAGCAGATGGAGGGAAGGCCAAGGAGTGACTGCTCAGAATTTAGTGGGCCTAATCATGGAAAGTTTCCTGGAGAACAGGCTGTGTGGAGCACTGTAAAAAAGAAGCAAGAGAGGAAGCGCAAGAAGGCCTGCTTAAGAAGAAGTGGGATGTACGTAAGAGAAAAGGCTGGCAGACCTCCCAGAAACGGACAGATGAAATGAATGAGGAAAAAGGGGACCCGAATACCGTAGTTCACATGCTTGATCTAAAAGTGCACAGCAGTTTGTGCTTGGGAACTGAGATTCTAGTCACACATGTAGTACATCCACAAATATTAATCCTGTGTAATATTGGCCAAACAAAGGAAATCTCTCTCCCTCTCTTTCTCTCTCAGTGTTGGTGGCGGCAGTGATGGGAATTAAACCCAGGGCCTAGTACATCCTGGGCAAATGCTCTATTGCTGAGCTACATCCCAGCCTAAAATCTCAAAATTTTAAAAATAATTGATGCCATACAGGTCGTGTTCACAGGCCACGCTGCAGGAGAATTAGAAATCAACAACTAGAATATTAATTATATGACCGGAAAATTAAAACTTTTAAAGAAGAAATCAAAAAAGAAACTGATCTCTCTAGAACTACATGGAAATGAAAGTTCTACATACCAAAACCCATGAGATATAGCCAAAGCACCATTTAGAGGAAAATGTGGACCCTTACGTTAATATATTCAAAACTAGTGGCTGGAGGAAAGCTTCCTTGGAGGAGTCTTCTCAGAAGAAAGGACATGGGATGGTGTTGTGGGCCTGGACTCTTCCTCACCTATGTGGGTTCAATTAGAACCCCCTCCCCTGGGAAGCCCCCCTCTGACATCCACCACAGTCTGGGTTAGGTGCCTGATGTTCACCTTTGGCTTTGCTTTAATGGTGCTGATTATGATTGCTTGGTCAAATTCTTCTCTTCCTCACTAGAATTTGAACTCCAGGGAATGGATTATTTTCTCTGTTTCTATGCTCCTAGTACTTATCACATGGTCAGTGGGTGCTTAATACCCAGCTATTGAGAAATCTATGACCAAAGAGCCTCTGCTTTCTGAGCAGGGTAAAAGAAGACTACAGGCACAGGGGTGCTTGGGGCAGGGAGAGTGTCCTGGTACTGAAAGTCTAACTAGGGGTGCTTCTGCCCAGAGGGAGCTCCCAGACAGCACAGCTGTCCTCTCCTGAAGGCCGGCCCAGCCTCTTCTCCATCTGGCACGGCCCAGTGTCACTACTTCAGGGGCCACTGGCATGCATGCCCCTCACCCCAGCCTGTATTCTCTCCCTCCTGCCCCATGTGAGCAGACACGACCTTGCACTCGGTCAGGTTGGCACTTAGTGAGCCCCACTATTCACCGAGGGTGGGGGGCGTCAGACACTCATGGAGCTCCTTGTCCAGGGGAGGAGGTAGGTGTATGCTGCACCAGGGCCAGAACAGGACTTGCGTGACAAGAGTGACTGGAAAGACAGAGTCCCAAGTCACAGAAGAAGTTGAGATTTATTCTGTTCTTTTTTCTTTTCTTTCTTTTCTTTTATCTTCCTTCCTTCCTTTTTTGCAGCGATGGGGATGGAACCCAGGGCATCACATATACTAGGCAAGCAGGGATCTACCACTGAGCTATGCCCCTATGCTACTATGGTTTTTAATAACAGTGTTTAAAACTTTAATTTTTATAATAACCAATGTAATACTGACTTGTAATAAGAAATGCTCATAATACTGAAGTGAATAGAGTGAAACTGATTATTACCTGCCTCCTGTTATTTAACAGTTTGAGGTATGTTCTTTCTGTACTTACACCAGGGTGTATGTGTATGGTGTATGTGATTTTTTTTTTTTTTTCTTAAATGAGACAGGACCACATATGTTGTTTTGCAGCTTTTTAAGCTTTTCATCTACTTGTGCCTTAGGGCTCTTTGGATCTACTCAGATTTCTCTTAGCAGCAGCATTATACACTGTTGCTTGACTGCACAGCAAAGGATTTGAGTATTGAGATTGTTTCTGATTCTTAACCCTTAGGAAGCTGGGCAGTAGTACCCATCACTGGCCGTATTTCTTTCGGAGATTCTCTACAAGTGATGTGGCTGGGGCAGATGGTGTGTGCTTTTAATTGACAGATTTACTTCTGAAAAACTTGTGTCTGGTGATGTTCCCCAGCAGTGTGTGAGAGCCATAGGTCCCCACACCATCACAACACTGGCTATGAGCAGTCATAATGATTTTGCCAGATTGGTAGATTAAAAAATTAGATTAGTTAGATTAATTCTGACTAAGGAGCTTGAGAACTGCATCAGAACTGAGACAGGAAGCCTCGTAGCAGTTATTGTAAGGGAGGAGATCCTGGAAGAAATACAGTGGTACCTCGGTTCACAAATGCTTTGGTTTGCAAACAGTTTGATTTGCAAACAGAAGCGTTTGGCAAAATTTTGTTTTTGCTTGTGAACGTCGGGTGATGAACATGAACGTGGCCATCTTTTCCAGAATCATGGAATGAATTAAGTCTGTGAACTGAGGTACCACCATAAATGTGAAGCTATCAGCAGAGAAGGCTTAGCTGGCCAAGCCTTCTCCTGGAGACAGAGGCTGAAGGGGCAGGAGGTCAGGCGGGGCTCAGAGTCTGGAACCCAGCCGTGGGAGGCTGTGCAGCCAGGCTGCCATCCGGGGTTTACCCAGAAAGGTGTCTGAGGCTTTTCAAGTGGGTGTCTCTGCTGTACTGCGGGTTTAATTTACAAAGATGACCAAACAATGGTGCAGACAAGCTAATGGTACAGGAAGATTTCTATTTATTTACAGTTCCTAAGAGAAGAGGGGGCACTGCCCCTCACAAGGCCACAGAAGGAAGCTGTGGGACTGGTCAGGAGGCAGGGGGAGCAAGAAGGGGAAGCGTCGGCCACAGGATTCCTGGGGTTGCTACAGCAGAAGCAAGGCAGGGCAAGAGAGACTGCACTGGGCTGGTCTCTAGTTGTCTGGCCCCGGCCCCAGTGATTGGGGGCAGATGCAATCCATGTCTGGTGAGTGCGAGGTTCATAAGGGATGGCTGGGGATTTGAGCCGGGGAGTAGTTGGTTTGCATATGAAAGGTGTGCTTCTCTCTTCTCCTTGCCCAGCTAGGTTTCCCAAGATGTCAAAATATCATAAATTTTAAAAAATAGAAAACCACGAGCAACACACAGGGGGGTGTTGTGCTTCAAGCTACTGTGTGAGAGGTGGAGGTCTGACTGTGAGAGAAACCATCTGTGCTTTGTCCCCCACAGAAAGCCAACAAAGGGCAGAGCCGGGCCATTGAGCGCCTCAAGAAGAAGATGTTTGAGAATGAGTTCTTGCTGCTGCTCAATTCCCCTACAATCCCATTTCGGATCCACAATCGGAATGGAAAGGTCAGGAAGGGTGGGGGTAGAACAGATGCTGCCCCTTTCCTTAGTCCAGGGCTGCCCCCTCACCATGGCTCTTGGCCCTGACCTGGGGGAAGCAGAGAGTAGGGCCTCCACTTCCCAAAGAGGCTGCCATGGTTCCAGCCCTGGACTGTCTCTCCCTGCTGGTGTGAAACAAGGGCCCTCTGCTAGTCATCACTAGCACTGTCACATCTGTTACCTGGTTTCTCAGAATTAGCCCCCACCACCACCACCGCAGCTGCCTCCAAGCTCAGGGGTGTCTGGGTAAGGAAGAGTTTTGTTGGGGGCCCCATAGTCTGGAAATATGCTTGGCCTAACTGCGGTCACCCCACTGAATTTTCATCTCCTCTCTTCAGAGCTACCTGTTCTTACTGTCCTCGGACTATGAGAGGTCAGAGTGGAGAGAAGCAATTCAGAAACTACAGAAGAAGGGTAAAGTCCTGCCCTGTTCTATGCTGGTCTGAGGGTGTCCATGGCAACGCTGGGCCTTCGGCACATCCAAACATTTTCATGTCCAGTATCTCTTCTTCAGTCCTCTTAGCCACTATTATAAGATGCCAGGAGAAGTGACACTTAATTGATGTTACTGATCAGTCCAAACCCAAAGAATCGAAGTGATTTGCTTATGGCATATGCTGAGTTAGCGGTAGGACTGGACCCAGAGCTCAGGATGTGTATCATCCTCCCTCGCTCTTGGCTTTCACTGTCCCCAAAACACACACATGAGCCTCTTCGCTTAGCTTCTCCTCTTATTCCATTGATAGCACCGACAGCTGTACCCATAGGGATGTTACAAGTTGTACCCCGTCGTGAGGACCAACCCTGAGAACTCAGCTGTCTCCCTAAGCAGTCCCTAAGGAGGAGCAGCAGGTCCTTGCGGACCTGTGCTGATGCTCCCCGTCTCTTGGCTCCTCTTGCAGATCTCCAGGCTTTTGTCCTGAGCTCCGTGGAGCTCCAGGTGCTCACAGGATCCTGTTTCAAGCTTAGGACTGTACACAACATTCCTGTCACCAGCAATAAAGATGGTAAGATCTGGAGCCCAAGGTTGCCCAACCTGCAGGTCCAAGCCCGGGGGGCACGGTTGGGGTTTTTGTAAGCGCCTAGCCAGACGCGTGGCCGCCAGTGGCTGATCGCTGCTCAACCAGAAGGACTGTTTCATTGCCGGGCACACAGAGATCTTACTCTCCGTTGGGCCCCGGGGTGGCTCCCAGGCTCTCTTCGGTGCTCTCTGGTGTGAGAAAAGAACCTGGCGCCCTGTGTGCCAGAACTGGGCTGAGTCCGTGAGGTAGTCAGATAATGGAAGCAAAAGGCTGCATTTTTTCTGGTGGGGGTCGGGGGAGTGGTAGTTAGATTATAGTAGTAAATGGGAAATAAGGCCAGAAGTTTCCAGGGACCAGGTCTTGGCAGGATTTGAATGGTAAGCAAGGGAGTTTGGAGGCCACTTGGTAAGCCAAGGAGCCTAGAGGAGTCTTTTGAGCCAGGAGAACTGTCACTGGGGCTGGAAACTGGCCCAGAGCAAGTGAATTCTGGCCGCCCATTATGCTGGGAGGGAAGTGCTCTGTGAAAGGGGTTTCAGGATGAGCTCCCCTCAGCGTATCAGGGTCATCTCAAGCAGTGTACAGAGCGAAGCCTTCTCTTCTCTATTAGTTTTCACTTTGGAGGATTGGCTGAGGAGGGCACCCAAGAGATAGGCATTCAGAGGAAGGGAAAGAACCCCGGGGGGAGGTACCAGGACCCTGCGGTGCACTGCTCTCCCAAACTAAGCAGAGGGAAGAAGGTCACTGCCCTTCCTGGCAGCTCCCCGGGCAGGAAGCAGGGGGCTTTGGAGACTTTCTCAGTCAGCCACCAGGTGGTGCTGTTGGACTGAGGCTCAGGCTTCCTCTCACTCTGACTTCCCACCACCCTCGGGTAGAAAGGGGGTGAGCTGCTCACCACCCCCTACTCTGGGGGCTTTTCTCTCTTGCAGACGACGAGTCTCCAGGACTCTATGGCTTCCTCCATGTCATTGTCCACTCTGCAAAGGGGTTTAAACAATCAGCCAGTAAGTGCCCCTGACTACCAGCTCTAGGAGGAGGTTGGGTGGGCCATGTTCATATGTCCCAGAAAGTCCCTGTGAACCCATTGTCACCACCTGTTCTTCTCTGTCCAGGCTGGGCCCTGCCAGCATGCTTTGAGTTGTGGGGTAATGCCCCAAAGGCTAGGAAGCAACTTCTCTTGGCAGGGGAATCATCTCTGCCCTTTGGCCAAAAGATCTGCTCTTCCCCAAGCCCTCCCTCCAGGTATCTGAAACCCTGGAACTACAAACACTTGGACTCCAGTCCCACATCTGCCAATTGCAAGCTGTGTGACCTTGGGCAAGTTTCTTATTCTCTCTGAACCTCAGCTTCTGTCTCCATAAAAAGCAATCACATGTGTTAATACTGAGAGTGAACTTAAATACAGCTATGTACAGTGCCATCATGTACCTTTCCCCTTTTTTCTTTGTCATCATCTCCTCAATCTGTAGGTTAATGGTACTACAGATTTTAGCAGCAGTAAGTCTGTTTTCAGCTTTTTGTTTTCTTTGAGACAGAGTCTCACTATGTAGTTCAGGCCAGCCTTGAACTCTCTGTGTAGTCCAGACTGGCCTTGAACTTGCGGTGATTCTCCTGCCTCAGCCTCCTGAGTGCTGGGGTTATAGGCATGCATCACTTGTTTAGCATTTTACAAAATACAAATTATACTTTTTTTTAATATGGTGCTAGGGATTGAACCCAGGTTCTTGCACATGCTGGGCAAGCACTGTACCACTGAGTTACAGCCCCAGACCCAGTTACACTTTTCCTCTACTTTATACCCAACAGGAATGTGAGCCAGCTAGATAGTTTATACTTTCTGTCCATTTGCCAAGTCACTGAGTCACTGAGAAGTGGAAGGACTGAACATCACACAGGATCCACAAACCCAGGGTTTCTGACTCCCCTCTCGGCCTGTCCCTTCCCACTCCCTTCTCTTTGTCTCTGGCAGGCAAGATCTGCCTTTGCCTGTCTTCCTGTGGGCATCTCGCAGAGGTTACATTATTGGCCTACAAATAGTCATTCAGGAAGCATTCTTGGGGCACCTCCCTGAATTCCTGGGGTGAACTGGCCTCTCCTTCTGTGTCCCCATCACATTCGGGGTGAGCCTGGTTACAGCACCTGGCATGCTGTTTTGCCGCTTATAATTTGCTTCTCCCACTGTGACTTCTTTGAATGTAGGAACCAGATCTCATTAATCCTCAGATGACTAAGAGCTCAGAAATGCTGAATAACGCCGTTAATTTACAGCATGCCTACTGTGTACTTGGAGAAAATGAGAACATGGCCACTGTGTGGACAGTGCCCTGGCACATTCAGAACCTCTCCAGGCCCATTATCTGCCCCAGTCCCTGGCACCCCTCTGTGATGTTCCACTTTACACGTCAGGAAGCTGGGGTTCTGAGAGCTCAGGGGACTTGACAGGATCACATGGGGGATGCGGTAGAATCCATGCCTTCTGTTACCAACACCCAGACTCTTTTTTAGAGCATTTCTATAAGGGACAGTTAAAAGGTCAGATGCACTGTTCCCCTTCTTCCCCAGGCCCTCACAACCACCCACACCCCCGGCCCCATTCCTGGTCCTCTCAGGCCTTACTTGATATATCTCCATCTGTCCTTCCCTCTGCAGACCTGTACTGTACCCTGGAGGTGGATTCTTTTGGCTATTTTGTCAGCAAAGCTAAAACCAGGGTGTTTCGGGATACAACAGAGCCCAAGTGGGATGAGGTGAGTGGAGGGGACTGGTGTCCCCACAAAGACTTCTGTTGTCACCAAGCATGCCCATCTTATCCTACTTCCTTTGTTTTTAACTCTTGGTTGGACTAGCTCCATCTCCCTAGCCTTGCACCTTCCAATCCCTGTCCATTAGGTCTCAGATGAAGTTTGTGTCAGTGAGTGTCAAACCCTGGGGTTTTAGCTCAGACCCCTAAACTTCACCACATCAGTGGTCTGGAGGCCTCTGGGAACTCCAGAAAGTACAGATGCTCTTCCACGTCTTGTGATGTATCCCTCATGGGCCCTGCTGACCCCAGCCTTGCAACCTGATGTCCAGACCTGCTGGAAAGCTGTGTGTCTTGACTTGAGAGGTTCGAGACCTTTTGTCTTGTCTTTCTCCAGGAATTTGAGATTGAGCTGGAGGGCTCTCAGTCCCTGAGGATCCTGTGCTATGAGAAGTGCTATGACAAGACCAAGGTCAACAAGGACAATAACGAGATCGTGGACAAGATCATGGGCAAAGGACAGATCCAGGTGAGGATCCAGGGCACCTGGCCAGGCTTGGGAAGCACCAGATTGTGTGGTACCAATTGAGAAAGAGTCCTTCTGGCTCAGGTTTTTGGTCTGTATGTGCTTGGCCTTTTCCAACTTTGGTTCAAAACTGGTTTAAAAAATGTTTCCCAAGGTGGTGATATACTCCTGCTGGCCATGGCTTCTTACTGTAACCTCAGAAGCCTGTGGGTGCCTGGTTGCTCAGGCCCCCGCTCCTGGCTCAGGTTGGCCACCCATATTTCTGCAAGATGCACTTGAGAGATACCAGCTGCCTTTGCTTTTGTGCTCTAGTTTCAGTCTGTCGGTGGCTTTTTCCTGGAACACTGTGTGGAGAAGTGTTCTGAGACTGTGTCCTCAGCAGGAGGGAAGAGCGCTGTGTTTAATAAGTGCAGTGTGCCGCGGGCATGGGTCAGCAACGAGGCGCACATTACAGGCATTTGCTGTTCTACCAGAAGAGTTTGGAGCTGGTTGGATTGCTAAGGGCTGGCTCTGACTTGCCACTAGGATTACTGGACCATCCTCAACCTATGTTGGAAGACACTGGCTTAGGGTGGGTCCTCTGGCTATCAGCAGAGGCAGATCCTCAGTCAGGGTTAGAGTATATGCCTCAGCTGAGCTTCTTGGTGTCCTGTAAATATGCAGAAGGGAAAGGACCTTGCTTGCAGCTTGGATCTCTGGGATATTCTGCCACTGTTGAAAATGGCTACTATGCACTTACCTGTCAGGAGAATTAGGCTTCAGTGTGGAGCCATCTGTACTCCTCTCTGGCATCTTGTGAGGTCTCATACTTTTGACATACTGAGGGTAGATTGTGTAACAATGAAATCAAAGTATTACAGAAAACAGACCAAACATGAGAAGATGTGGCACTGAGAAGGTTTAGGAGGCAGTTTATTACACTGGTGCCCCTGACTGGTATCTCTCTCCCAAAGAGTCAGAGCCCCACCCAGTGGGGTTTTGAGACTTGTATCAGGAGAGCAAGTGGGGAGGTACAAAGGCAGATTTGGTGCATTGTGATTGGAGGGTTGGGTGACAGCATGAATTGCTAAGAGAGTTTAAACATCTCAAGTTATATTGCAAGTCCATTAAGTAAACAAGCATGGATTACACAAAGGAAGAAATGTCCTGTTTTCAGGCTTTTCTGGACATGTCCATCTGGTTTTGGCAGGCATTCTTGACAGGCTTTATTTAAAATTTTAATTTCTCTTTCCTTTCCCCCCCTCTTTTAATTAATCAGAAGAATCATTTTCAGAGATGTTGGTTCAATACTCTCGTTTGCATCCTGTGAAATAGGCATGGGTATCCCAACCTGGATTGTTGGTTTGAATTGGGCATGCATCAAATACATAAAGGTACACTTTAGGCTGAGAGGGGTCCCATCCGGTCTGCTTCAGAATCACTGGTCAGTGCCATAATGTTGGGTTTGGAGCTCCCGGTGTCCTGAGTCTGCTTGGCAAGCTTGGCGGCTAAGCAGCCTGAGCAGGAACAGGCACAGGATAGAAGTGGCAATCATTCTGACCCTAAGAAAAGTAGTTTAGAGTACACAGACCAGCGGTTATACCAGTGTAGAAGAGAATGAAAGTGACCTTATGGGGAACTTTCCAGTCTTCTAGGGACGCAGCCCAGAACCCTAGGGTGACTACTGAGATTAACAAGAGGAAGGGGACTAGAAACCAAACTGGGTAACAGAACACGAATTAATTAGGGCATGCGCTCTGGTGTATGGTGTCCGTCCAGCTTTAGCCGTGTATAGACCCATCAGCTTCCAGAGTGATGGGTGCAGGGCTCTGAGTGCATTGTCTCCTCAGGGGTGTCTTCAGAGGAGTTGACTCATCCAGATAGGCTTTCCAGCAGTCATCAGGATGAGCTTTCTTGATCTGAGAATGATGGATCCACAGCTGGATCTTGGAAACCTTTATTGCTGTGGGTGTGGTCAGAATAATTAAGTAGGGGCCACTCCAGGTGGATTGTAGGGTCTCCTGTTTCCAGTCCTTTACCCACACTAGGTCCCCTGGATTGAAAGTATGTGTGTAGATGACTGGCCTTTCAGCTATATTCTTATGTATTTGAGAAAAGGTTTTTCCTATCTGTGTAAGTTGTTCCTGCAGAAATATGTTACCTAGCTGACATAGATCTCCCTAGAGACCCCTAATTATGGGTGGGGGTCTCCCATACTAGACTTCAAAAGTATATCTTGTGGGTCCTGATGAACTTCAGACCTTGAGGAGGACCATGGGAAGCAAATCTACCCATGGTACCTGAGTTTCTTGGTGATACTTATTTAGTCAATATTGACTTTAATGTCCCATTCATTTTTTTTAAAATTCCCAGAGTACACAGACCAGCGGTTATACCAGTGTAGAAGAGAATGAAAGTGACCTTATGGGGAACTTTCCAGTCTTCTAGGGACGCAGCCCAGAACCCTAGGGTGACTACTGAGATTAACAAGAGGAAGGGGCCTGTGTGCTGTATGTAAGCTCCATCTGATTTTTTTTTTTTTTTTTTTTTTTTTTTGTAGTCAGCTTCTGGGTTATTTCTGCCACAAATATAGGCCTATTGTTGCTGCCTGTGGCTAGGGGCAGCCCATGTCTAGGGATAATCTCTGTTAGTAATACTCTACAGACCTCAGTGGTTTTTTCTGTTCTAGTGGGACATACCTCTCGTCACCCAGAATAAGTACAGACAAGTACCAGAAGATATTTGTAGCCTCTACATGGCTTGAGTTCTGTAAAATCTGTCTGTAGGTCTTCAAAAGGGGAAAGTCTAGTGTGTTGGATACCAGGTAGGGGTTTAGGTCCAGAGAGGGGTTCAGTCCTTACACAGATTTGACATCTCTAACAGAAGCACAGCACAGGTTAGGCTAGTTTTGGAATATAATAGGAATGGCTTAGAAGCTGATTCATAGCACTTTTTCCTCCATGGATGTCATGATGACATTTTACCCAGGCATAGTCCAGATTTTGAGGAACCATCATGCAGTCTTCTGGTAATGTGGGCCCTTTCCTATTGAGTCCATTTAATTTTTTTTTTCCCTGGGGTAGCGGAGGAGGCTCACTGCAAAGACTGAGGACAGTTCTAGGGGGTATTTTATGTTGAACTTCCAAGTTTTGTTTCAGATCATTTGTTCCTCAAGAGGAGCCCTCAGCCGCCATTTTTGCAATCTTATTGGCCTTGTTATTTCTGAGAGTGACAGTGCCCTTTACCTTTTGGTGTGCTGTACAATGGATAATGGTGACTGTTTTGGTTTCCAAACTACAGGCAGGAGTTGAGAAATCTCATCTTGGTTTTTAATTTCTTTTCCTTCTGCCATGAGAAATCCACATTCTTTGTATAGTATTCTGTGGAATGGACAGCAGCAAAAGCATACCTCGAGTCAATGTAGATGTTTTCCTTTTTCTCTTTTGCCCTGTTGAGAGCTTGTATTAAGGCCCATAGTTCAGCTCATTGAGCAGACCAGTTCTGAGGAAGAGGCTCAGCTAGGAGCACCTCTTCTGTGGTGACAACTGCATAGTCTGGCCTTGTGTTTCCCATTCTTTACTGAGCTACATCTATCCATAAACAGGGTGTACTTAGCATCAGACAAGAGTTCCATCTGCAAGTCTGGCCAGCTAGCAAAGAGTTCATCAGTTAAGGCAAGATGTCATGATCGGGGGGCCAAGCTTAGTGGGCAGGAAAGTAGCTGGATTTAGAGTTTTAGTCAGTTGGAAACTAAGTCAGGGATTTCCACAAAGTAGTCCTTGATACTGAGTGACACAGTAGTTCTAGAGCCAACAATGTCCCTGACTATTGAGTAGCTCTAGAACAACATGTGGCACCCAGATGGTTAGATTTTGTCCCAAAGTTAATTTGTCAACCTCTTTGATCAGGAGGACCATCCCTGCCAGTGCCCTCAGGCAAGAAGGCCGGCCTTTGGCCATTGAATCCAGGTTCTCTGACAAATAGGCAATGGGTCTTTCCCAGGGGCTGACCTTCTGTGTTAGAACCCCCAATGCTATGTGCCTCTGTTCATCAATAAACAGGTTAAAGGGTTTTATCACATCAGGAATGCCTAGTACTGAGGCAGCTGACAGCTTCAACTGGCAAACAGAACACATCCTTTAAGTACAGTCAGGTGAACCAGGTAACATTAGGGGGAAGCAGGCCCAGGAGAATATAAGGGTTGAGGGTGGTTGAATGCAGAATTGTGGTGACTGAGTTGATGGCATGGATATCTTGCACTGGCCGGTAGTCCCCGTTTGGCTTTTTCACTCGGAGGAAGGGAGTGTTCCAAGGCAGTTGGTAGTCTACCAGGATTCCAAATTGCTTCAAGTGGGAGATGTGGGGCCAGATGTCGAGTCGGGCTTCTCTTGACATAGGGTGCCATTTAGCAGCAGCAGGGATTACAGTGGGACAGAGGTCAATCACCAAGGAAGCATGATTAATTGCAAGCCCCAGAGGTAAGTCCTCTGCCCGTAGTTCTGGAAACAAGTCTCTCAGAACTCCAGGGTCATGATTGACAGGAATTTCAGGCTGATGCAGGTGCCATTCTTTTTTTGGGGAACAGTCAGAGTCAACATCAAGTTTGGAGCAATGAACCCAAGTATGAGGGAAGCTGGCTGGTTTGGAGTGAAAGAAATGGTTGCTCCCAACTTGGAGAGGAGGTCACATCCCAGGAGAGGAATAGGGCACTCAGGCCTGTATAAGAATTCATGTTTGATAAAGTGTCTACCAATCTCGAAGGACCTGCTCTGACAGAATTTCTTTTCAGAGGGAGTTTCTGTGGTGCCAACAACTTGGATTCACTGGGAGGTCAGTGGCGTGAAGGCTGAGTTACAACTGAATGTTCAGCCCCACTGTCCACCATAAAAGTCATAGATTTTCTCCCAATTCTGGCAATGGCCATGGTCTCCCAGGGGTCCAGTCTAATGGAGCCTGGTCTGTCGTATTTGTTGTTATCAAAGAGAGGAAGAAGAGACTCATGCTGGGGTGGCTCCAGACAGTCA